AAAAAAAAAAAAAAAAGTATCAGTTGTATCAGAAATAAGGCTCGTCTAAACCTGGCCGGAGGTGGCTAGGGCCGGCGTGGTCTGCCGAGTCAGTCTGGAACCGGACCGTATGCACGGGTCATTCAGACCCTTGCTACAAATAGTCTTAATTATTTTATTGTTACCCACCAGTTTTAATGTTTCCAAGCCAAGAGACGAGTCAAACTTTAATTTTTATTTTTATTTTTATTTTTTATGAACCCCTCCAGTCCTGAACCGTTGGATCGGTGAACTGGCCCGGAACTGCTGGGCCTATGAACCGGTCCATACCTACATCTAGATACTTGGGCCGGATCTTGACACAGCCACCAAATGGCCACCTCTACCTGGCCCAATCAAGCAACACTGGAATGCCACCGAAAAATTAAGAAGGAAAAAGTAAAAATTATTAGGGAAACAGAAAAGTGAAAAGATATTAGAAGAAGGGAAGAAGATTGACGTATACAACCTTCATTTTGTTTAATGGGCCACCATTGATTGTAGTATGAATAAATTTAGAGACCTTACACATTTCAATGCTTTGCTCAATAGTTTACTAGAATTTAACTATTCCTCGTATTCTTAATTAAAAACGAGGCAGAAAACATTACCTACATAAATATTTTATAATTTTGGTATATAATAATATATAATTTCAAATATACTACAACAAAAAAAAATTATTTTTTTTTTGTTTATATATAATTTCAAACAAATCTCATGAGATCCACTAGAAATATTACATTTTGTTGTTATTACATTTTATATAGAACTATAGCTGTTTGGACATTGATTAAATTTAAAGTGTGATTAAATTTGCAATTGCTTTTTAAATGAGGTGCGTAATGCATTTATATGATTTTGATTAATCTCCATGCACTGAATTTATAGTCTACACCTAAGATATGATCATTCTCCCTACGATCAATCCATTGGACTCATCCCATATATTGCTCTTCCTTCAACATGTTTTTTAAAATGTCCAAAACGTTCCTTTCTTTTCAAAATCTTTCCTTTCAAGATCTTTCAAAATTCTCTGATTGTCTTTGTAACACTCTGTATTATGTGTTTAGGAATCAATTCTGGCCATGCCAACGTTTTTCACCAAAATGCTCGGCAACTCGATCGATCTATAAATTTTCTCTCATTGATATATGTTAGAACTTACAACCAAGTCCTTTATGCCGGCTCTTTCCGAACTAAACCGCCACCTTTTGAGTAAAGTCTTTTAGAAGATTCTTCGTTCTCACCAATCCCTCCATTGCACTCCACTGGCTTGAGTATAGTCAGTTCATCCGAGGACCCTAATTTTTACCTCGTATACCTCCTGCCACGTGCTCAATATTTTTTTTTTTTTTGGCATCCTTTTGAATATAGTTATGTGCATTCCTTTGCAAGAAAAAGCATGCAAATGTGGTCCTGAAGGGAGCAATTTCCCTATATGATTCCAGGCTTTCCAGCCATGATGTAAGAAATTTGCCTACAAAAAAAGTGCTTTGCCATTATAAATCTAAATATTTGTGTGTATTGTTAATATTTTGGGTTCATGTCGTAATATACATGATATCCATGTAGATACTCCAACGCTTGAGTTATTAATCTTGTAATCGTAGTATTCAACTTATTAAAAAGGATACTGAGCTTGATCGAGCTTGGAATGTGGTGATGAGAAAAACACTAGAAATCTGGTATAAAGAGACGTAAGTTGGCTAGGTTAACAAGTTGAATTTCTTATCATTTCTTTGTGTTCCATGATATTCTTTATTGTGTATCTTTTATACCAAACTCTTAATACCATTTTACAAAAAAATAAAAAAAAAATCTCTTTGTTTGGGGGTATGGGGCTAGAATCATTTTTCGCGTTCTTTTGGGTTTAACATTTCAGAATGTGTGCAGAGGTAGCACATTGCAGAAAAAAGATGACCTGTGCTGCCCTTTGGAATTGATGAGCTCCCTGTGACTTTGTTAGATGAAAAAAATGAGGCAAGCGTTTACTTAATTTGATATGTTTCGTTTTCCAATTCTTATAATTGGTGATTTTTTGTTGTTTCAGTGGTTCTATGTTATTGTTGCTATTAAAGTTGGGTTTTCGTTTGTTGGTTTGTTTGTTTTTTCTTTGGTTATTCATGATGTTGTCGTGTTTCATTTTCATGAATTTTGGGATTTGAGTTAGATGAAACTATATTATGCGGTTTTGGTAGTTCTATTATATACTTGGCCAATTGAACAAAAGGCTTTGGAGATTGAAATTTATTAGAGGCTGAGGCTAAAATGTTTTGCTTGTTTTTCCACATATTGGTGTTTCGGTTGTTCAACATTTCGCACTTATACAAATAGGCGCCGGAGTTGAATGATGTTGAAATATGTGCAATGCCGCCTTATGCTTATTGTTTTGTGCATTCAAAAGGTGTGATCTGGTGTGATGGTAGATGAAATGAATGAGACTGAATGCTTTGTTCGTTTTATTTGTTTTTTAGGTATATGTGACTGTGATTATGATTAATACAAATCTTTGACTGTGTAATTAGAATAGTAGGTACACCATTCTAACGAGCTACCGATACTAAAATCTGAATTTTTCTCAGTTGCAAGCGTCGAAGGTGAATTATTTTTCTAATTCACATCTATTTAAAACAGTTAAATATATGACTTCTCATGCCTTCAAATATGTTTTGTTATTCCTAAAATTGAACTAGACACATGCACCATTGTTGTCAATGTTATCATTTAACAATAGGCCGAATAACTGAGAAAGAAAAAACATCGACATTTATGTTAAATTATCGAGTCTCAATTTACAAATAGGCACGATGATATCCAGAAAAAAAAAAATAAATCAAAACAATGTATAAAATAATTAAAACATATCCTCCAAATTCAGATTAATAATGTAAAACTATTTCTAAAAGGAACACAACAAAGCTACCAAATAGCAGCACCATCAAAACAATACGTACAATCATTTGAAATCATCTATTATTTATTCCTTTAAGCTTAAACCACACGTGCACTAGAAGTTTGTCACCATTCGTGCCTATTGCAAAACATTTCATCCATTAGTTAAACAAATATTACATAACATTTCATCCATTAGTTAAACAAAATACGACATTCAAAACATTTCAAAAATTAAAATGATAATTTAAATGTTAGTTAATATTTGCATCCATTAGGCACTGAGTGTGGGTTGACTGTGCACGCACACCAGCGGTAGACCACTAGTCTACAACCAAGAATATTGACCATCAGATTTACAAGAAATATTACAAATATTACATTTTGTTGTTATTACATTTTATATAGAACTATAGTTGTTTGTATATTGATTAAATTTTGAGTATGATTAAAATTGCAATTGTTTTTTTAAATGAGGTGTGTAATGCATTTATATGATTTTGATTAATCTCTAGCATTGTATTTATAGTCTACAACTAAGATATGATTATTCTCCCTACAATCAATCCATTGGAATCATCCCATCCTCTTCCTTCAACATGTTTTTAGAAATGTCCAAAATGTTTCTTTCTTTTCAAAATCTTTCCTTTCAAAATCATTTAAAATCCTCTGATTGCCTTTGTAACTCTTTGTATTATGTGTTTAGGAATCAATTCCGGCCATGCCAATGTTTTTCACCAAAATGCTTGGCAACTCGATCGGTCTATAAATTTTCTCTCATTGATACATGTTACAACTAACAACCAAGTCCTTTATGCTGGCTCTTTCTGAACTAAACCGCCACCTTTTGAGTAAAGTCTTTTAGAAGATTCTTTGTTCTCACCAATCCCCCCATTGCACTCCACTGGCTTGAGTATAGTCAGTTCATCCTAGGACCCTAATTTTTACCTCGTATACCTCCCGCCACGTGCTCAATAACGTTTTTCTGTTTGGGCATCCTTTTGAATATAGTTATGTGCATTCCTTAATTTGTTGCAAGAAAAAGCATGCAAAAATGTGGTCCTGAAAGGAGCAATTTCCCTCTATGATTCCAGGCTTTCTAGCCATGATGTAAGAAACTTGCCTACAAAAGAAGTGCTTTGCCATTATAAGTCTAAAATTTGTGTGTATTGTTAATATTTTGGGTTCATGTTGTAGTATACATGATATCCATGTAGATACTCCGACGCTTGAGCTATTAATCTTGTAATAGTAGTATTCCACTTATAAAAAAAGATAGAAGAAGAGACTATTATTTTGGTTAAAATCAGTTAATCAAATCATTGAAGAGCGAGAAGTAATTACCGTATGAATTCGTTCTCAGTTAATGGATTGTCGATTATTCTTACCCAAAACTAATGTATCGAATTGTCGATTATTCTTAGCCAAACTTCAAGCTAGTTTTACATCGGCTGTACTATTATAGGGATGCCACATAGGATGCCACATCATGTACAAATCACAACTATTGAAACTATGATTATCTCCACATTTGTTCTATTTCTTGAGTGGCTACAAACATGATTACTCCAAGCCTCCAATGGCCATAGCACCAGAAGGTACATGCATGTTGTATAGTGAAAAACATATTACTAAAGCAAAGTATGTAATATGATATGATATGTCACTTTACTTATAGTAAAAAATGGAAAAGAGCCTGTGATGCTTTGTCAATCATATATCTTCCCTGATGAGCTTGCAGTTCAAAGTTGTTAGTCGAACAAAATTGTTAATTTACACGCACATAAGTCGAAAATATTGAAATTCTGATATTCTCGTATGGATGTGTTCAATAGCATCGAGTAATCACGTGAAAGATGCTATTAATGAAATACGAATTGTTGCGCGAAACGTCCAATCGTTAGATAGCTTGACTCATCATATATTTATAAGAAAAATGTATAAGTATGTCATGAAACAACATACTTTTTTCTTTTTAGAGTATACATTTCAATTTGAAAGTGTGCATATTGTTAAAAAAGTATAGATGCCCATCCGTTAGACCTGCTTACTGATTTGAAAAATTTTACTCTGAATAAATAAAGAGGAAAAAAAGAAGAAGGAAATACTGCACTTGACTAGTGAAATTTTTGTAATCTGTAATTAGATCACCAAAATTTTGTAATTAATTATGCTTGATATATCATATATGTACCTCATGGCATGGCTGCTATCATTAAGATGAGCTGCAATTTCAACTTTATAATAGCTTTTGTACAGTCTAAAAGAATCATAATCATTTCCAATTTATCATGATCATGAATGAAGCATGCTTCACATTCCTGGCCCATATGCAGGGGAAAAAACTGTGAAAATCTCTACCAAAGGCTACGGTCCCGTTACAGAACTATTCCTTCGGGGTTTGAACCATTAGATCATCATGTAACCGTCAGAGATAGTTGATCTAACGGTTACATACCCCGGCGGAATGGTTCTGTAACGAAACCGTAGCATCTTCCCAAAATTTAGATGTTTATTCTTTTCATTTTGAGCATTTGTACTTGGATTTGTTAAACGAAGCGAGTCACTCGTGAGTTCAATTCGACTCGACTCATTTAGGCCAAAAATAGATTATATATATTTTTTATTTTAAATAACTTAACTTAATCAGACTTGAGTTTGCCTCGTTTAGACCTATATGTTAATACCTATTACAAAATTGTGTCACAAAATTCTTGGATTTGGACCATATAAATCAAGTCAACAAAGTAATCTATACATAGCATTTACTTTAACGACCATATAATTAAAATCAAAAGACCAAGTAATTTACACTAGCCAATGCTTATAGAACCAACAAATTAAACTAGACTTAATAATAATGCATATAAAGAATTTGAAAACAAGAAAATAAAGATATATTTATTTTGCTTATATATGTTTTTTGAGACATCAAGATTATTCCATATTTTCCAAACTGAACAACGTGCTGCAGAAAATCATATGTAACTGACATCGTGAAATTGGACATGATCCCAAGTTACCATGATTATGTGGGATATTTTTTCATTTGGTTGGTTGGATTAGTTATCTTGTGTGTGATTGATTACTGACTGCTAATATTTATTTTCATCGCTAATTAAGGCTGAATTGGCTAAAAGAATCAAAGATCCAAGATTTATACAAAAGTCTGCAGACATAATGGTTAAATAATTATTTATATATATATCGGGTCCTCCACCTCGAGAGATGCATTCTTTACCATGACGATATTCCACTCCGTATCTGCACTGTCATACGGATAGACCAGAAGGGATATCCCTCATTCAGATTTGTGTAGCCGATTCTACCTTTTGGCGCATCCGCTACATTGTGACGCTGACTTTTTTGTCGGGAATCTCTCTGGACCAGGATTTTATTTTTTTGTATTCTCGTTGTCGTTGTCAGCTTTTCATTGTATATTTTCTTGCTTTTATTTTTGGTTTTGTTTGACTTGATGCACATCAGACATTGTATTTGTGGTCTTGTGATCTTTCAACCCATTTATGACATTTTTTATATACAGGTTGGAGGTTCGGCCTTAACTCCACCCTCCTGAGGTGTTGTTTGAAAAAAAAAAGTAGAATTAACATAAAATTTAAATTATTTTATTATTTTTTTTTAAAGAAAATGGTGATTTAGGATAGTGTTTAGCAATTGCCCCCGACAAGTTTCCTTGATTTAATTTCTCTAATTATAAATATCAAACTCATCTTTTTGCCTCCCACTTTAATTTTAGCTTTACAGACAATCTGATAATTTTTAAAAATGTTAACTTTGTGCTAAACAAACCAAAACCATTCCCTTAAATTATTTTTTCATGTGGTCGCATTCAGCAGCCATGATTAAAAAGTCCCCGTAGCACAGCACCACCACACATAGTGATTTTGTCAAATAGGCAATTTATTTTAAAAAATAGTCTTAAGTTTATATTTTTTGAGAAAGAATATCAAAACTTAAAGAGTTCATTGAATTTGATACACTAAGGTGTAATATTTAAGAGAATAAGATTGAGACTTTAGAGGTACGATTTGTCTTGACGAGATGAATTCAACGATAAGTCATTCGATCATAATGGAAAATGGGGGTATACGAGAATAAGCTTGTAAAGAGAACTAACACATTTTCACTTTTGATGGAAAAATCGAACAGGCGAGCGAAATCTTGTTGATTTGAAATTTTATTGGTAGGACTATCTCTAGAAAACGAGTCAGACAATAGGCTACTAGATTAGAATAAAAGTTGGACGACTTGAAATTACATCAGATGAAGAACAACTGCTGAAAAAACGATATTCAAAGAAAATGTCGTTTGTACTCGTAGGAATAAAGCGAATCCAACAATGGATCACTAGACCGAAATGGAAGTCGAATGATGTCGGAATTTCACTAGACAGATAACAGTTCGCGTATATATTTATAATAATTTACAACTTATTGTATCAACAAATTAAAGTGTAACAAATTAAAGTGTAACGCGACCGAACTGTAAATGAGATATCATATTTTTTCTTACATTATTTTTATAAAGTACGATATTTCAATTGAAATTATGCATATTCGATGATGTCCAAGTTTGTGAATTTTTTTTTTATTGGATACATTTTAGAATTTTGACTTTTCAAATGTGACATCAAATAGAATAATAAAATAAAATAAAATAAAAAGAATATATATATA